ATTTCCTCTCTGACAAGAGTATACGCATGACATTTAATTAATTTGGAGGCTCATCCCTTCCTCTGCAGAACTAAATTAAATATCTTACAAGAACAAGAGTGCTTTTATTTCTAATTTTAAAGATTAATCAAGCACAACAGACATACTGTAGAGCACTACTTGGACATAAATCCTGAGAAATTATAAATAGAAAGGTTCTCTTTAGCGAGTTCCTTTTTTATTCCTCTAACTCACGCAATCTCCTTTCAAATTTGATAGAATGGCTACTTGGAGCAGCTCAAAACGGGGTGCTTAGCAAAACAATTTCTTTCATTTCTTAAAAAAAGGCTGAATGATGTATCTGAATTTGGTTCTGAAGATATTTTCTGCTGAGAACATCACATGAATGCAAAAATCTAAACACTGTTGCAGATAAACCAGGGCTTCAGTGTTTCATTTTGAAACATTGGTTTGAGGAAAGTGTTAAGTTGTTGAGAAAAGAGAATTCCATTATATGTCAATGGAAATGTAGTGATTTGTATTCCCAATATGGTTTTTGAGAGCAGCAAACCTCAGCCATGTAACAGATAGTTACAGATCAAATCTAGCCCCTGTCAGTGTGTGTAATCTCCGTACTCAGAGTGTTAGAGGAATCACCACCTTCTGCTGTGGTTCAATTTCTTGGCAATTTAGAAATGAAATGAAAAAAAAATGCATTTTTAGGAAACTATATCCCTACATTTCACAGGTTTTCAAAACCCATTAGACTGATGATGCCATAAAATAGTGTTACTTACATTTGCCAAACAAAAAGATCTCTGAATACGTTAAGGAAGAATGTATAAGGTGGAGGTCATACTGCTAAGCTTTCTGAAGCTATGTCTTTAAATTATATGTCAGGTAGTGTTTGTCACTAATGTGGAAAAAGTAAAAAAAAATGTACCATATATATCAGCACTAATATATAGCATTAGTTTGCTACAAACTAATGACTAATTATAAAGTAAAAAAAATCCATCAACCCATTTTCAATTCAGGATCACTGGGGAATTATCTATCTCAGCAGACAACAGGCACAAGGCAAGGTATACCCTGAATTATATACCAGTCCATCACAGTAAAAAAAAAAAGTAAAGATATGGTAGCAAAACATTTTACAAGCCGCCTTATGGTTTTTAGTAGCTAGAGTGACATTCATAAGAATGTCATGATTTTAAAGTATGGAAAAATATATTTTTTATGCTTTTATGTTTAAGAAAATATTTATACAAGTCCTGATCCAGCAAAAAATAAATAAAAGCAAGTCACAACATTGTATTCATGAGAATAATGGAACCAATTCAACATTTCCAGACAAAATGGCTTGATTTTATATTGCATACCTGGTGTAGATCTAGATTTGCTGTTTGTGGCAGTTGTTGCATATCTTTAATAGCTTTTATTGTATATAACTAATTCTATGATAAGCTCTTTATTTGGAACTCAATTAGTTAAAACCCAGTTGAGAAGTACTCTACCTAACCAGAACATGCACTTACAGTAGCTGATCAAACAGAATTGTTTTTATGTAACCATATACAATAGCTAAATAAAACCATGATGATATGAGACAGGGTCTTCAAAATGCCATATACTTTCACAACCACTTGTCACAGCTTTGGAGCGGGAGAGTCGATTTAGAAAAATCACTTATTATTAATTAATAGAAAATAAATAGCAAGCTTTAATACATCTTCAACTGAAAAGCAAGTAATGTTCATGAAATATTAATATCTTGTTAGGAACAGTATTGTTTTTCTTACTACCTTTATTGCTGCATGGTATAATTAGTAACATTCACTAAGTCAAAGGTATAACACTAAAATTACACATTGATTTCTGTTTAAAGGGCATTTTGAAAAAAAAAGAGTGACCTGCAAAGACATTGTGATAAATATTGAACAAGCTTTATGATATGGAAGAAATAAATCAAAGCTTAATACATGGCACTGAGGCATTTTTACCAAAATAATACTTTACAGAGGGCATTATAAATTAGAAACCTTGAATCGACTTCAGGAAGTGGGAATCAATTTTCCATGGCAAACAATAGGGATTGTGTTAACATACTTGGTCTACAAATATATTCTGTGATACTATATCCACGTAGCCTTCAGTTTCTCGTTTTGCCGATAGCATCAAAGTGGCAACTACACCATAAGGTACTGGCACATTCAAAATATAGTTTGTACTTTTTCACTGCTTTTTGTGATTGGAAAATGGGTTTGCCTGTGAGCTTTTGACCTCCAGTGCATTTAGTGACAGTTGATTATTTTTAGCTGTCAAGATGAGATGTACCATTTCAGCTGCAATAAAGAGGCCTGTGTACGATTACAGAAACTTGTTTTCAAGTTGAATATTCAATGTCAGTAGAACCTCCCTGGATTTCCACACCTCCATCTTGGTAAAAAAAAAAAACAATCTTTAAAAGCCCTAAAGTCAAAGCACATGGATTCTTAAGATTCTAATTGCTTCTTATTTTAAAGTGATTTTGCTTCTACACCTACATTTATGCACCTACAGTAAGTGTTCTGAACATAGGGCTCTTAATCTATAATGACTATAAATTCCATTATCTAGTTGTTTTACCATTATAAAAATATAGTTAAAAAGATATTCCTGCAAAGCTTTTATAGGTGTCGATGTTTTTATTTTCTAAAAAGGATAAACAAATCCCTTCAAAATATTCAAATCTACTATATAATAAAGCAGTGGGGGCTGTTACCTTACAGTTATGAAGCTATATTCTGTATTCCCATGTGTTGTTAATGATATAATTTGGAGAAGAATTATGTTTTATTTGCAAATCCAAGCTGATGATCTAAGATTATTCCACAGTTTTATTAACTGGTTGCAAAACATTACAACACATTTATAATATAGTATAGCATGAACCCACCCATGGATATATAACAGGCCTAAAAAATGGACACAATTGTATGACAGGATCTTTTAAAGATTCACTGCTTGTTCCTTAATCCTGCTACTCAAAAATGCTACTCATTTTCAAGAACTGAAAATCATGCTGTACCTCAAATATGAAACAGAGGACACAAGTGGAAACTACTTGCCTTTAAAACGGAGAACAGGGGGCACAGTTGTGAAGGTATGGAACGAGCTACCCCAGCCATGCTACTGAAGTAAATATCCTGGTTTGTTTCAAGAATCAGGTCGGCAAGCCCTCTGGACCAATAATCCAGCAGCCATATCATCCTGCAACTCACAACTGGCGACCTACTGAAGCAAAGCAGGTGTGAGCCTGGTCAGTACCTGGATGGGAGACCTCCTGGGAAAAACTAAGGTTGCTGCTGGAAGAGGTATTAGTGGGGCCAGCAGGGGGCGCTGACCCTGTGGTCCATGTGGGTCCTAATGCCCCAGTATAGTGATGGGGACACTATACTGTAAACGGGTGCCGTCCTTCAGATGAGACGTAAAACCGAGGTCCTGACTCTCTGTGGTCATTAAAAATCCCAGGGCGTTTCTCGAAAAGAGTAGGGGTGTCCTGGCCAAATTTCCCATTGGCCCTTACCAATCATGACCTCCTAATAATCCCCATCTATGAATTGGCTTCATTACTCTGCTCTCCTCCCCACTAATAGCTGATGTGTGGTGAGCATTCTGGCGCACTATGGCTGCCGTCGCATCATCCAGGTGGATGCTGCACATTGGTGGTGGTGGTGGAGGGGAGACCCCATTACCTGTAAAGCGCTTTGAGTGGAGTGTCCAGAAAAGCAATTATTATTAATATTAATAATAATAATCAACTAAATCTCCCAGATGGGCTACATGGACCAAATAGCCTCCTTTCATTCATTTCAAAGTTCTTATGCACTGGAATGCAATCATGCATAAGTACAAGAAGTGTGGCCTATTTATAGTACATGTAAAAAATGATCATTTCTATACTGAACATAATTCAAATCACAGATTTGTAGTCATCTGAAATTATTCTGTATATACACATATATTAAGAATGTATATTACAGATGACCAAATGCTTCCAGTGAATGCCTGAGGCTGATGGCACTTTCGTCTAGATCTGGGCTGCATGTGTGATGAAGCCCCAGATTTCATTATCTCCGAAGCTGAAATAAATAAGCACTAGGGAAAGCAATGATGCATTTTGGACCTTGTTTTTCTTTCAGAGCAGACAATTTCCCACAAAAGAAAAGGGTTAAAAAGACAGTGGCCCTGCCCTCCGCTCTTCCCAAGGGCAGATTACTTTTCAATATACTCAAAAAAATGTTCATCAATTACAGGGAATTGACTTGGGAAACAAAGTACATCAAATCACAAAGTATAAACTGAAGTATGAACTGAATGTTCCAGAACTATGCAGTACAATGTGGAAATTATAGACACATAATTCCTGCATATACTCACTTTGCTGCACTGCACATTTTCAGCAACACACATTCACCAGTAGCGGGGGTACCAAATCAGAAAATTAATACATAATAGCAACATGGAACTATGCAAAACTAACCACGATATTAATTACCTAAACCAATATATACTCAAGTGTGTTTCCTTGCTTTCATGTTGTGATCTCCAAGCTTACTCCATCATACATCCTACATTACATGAGACAGAAAACTGAAGCTGAATTCCATTAATTTGAGCTGAATATAGTTGAGGCTAAATGCTGATAGAAGAGACAGTACTTTTCCCCACCTCTTCAAAGCCAAGATCTTCAGACAAAATGAGAAAAGTCTGGGGGCTTACTGAGAAAGCAGCTAAGTCAACATAAAGTAATGAGATCTTATTTACCCAGCTGTTAGGAAATGATTAGATGCTTAGGTCCTGATTTACCCAGCTGCATAGAGAACCCCAGCCAACACCATTTCAACCTCTGCGCACTTTTCTGTAGAAGTGTATAGCTTAAAATACAAACAAATATATTTTAGATTTTGACTGACTAACATCATACAATAATTCCAACAACTTAGAAATATAAAAGCTCAATACAAAAAGAAACATACTGTTTCTCCCAAGGATGCAGCAACCATGTGTGTGACTGGGGCCACATATGGAGATTCAGAACTGCCAAGCAGGGACTTCACACATTCATAGGTGACGAAAAACGCAGCCGCTGAAATGAAGCAGAACCATTCTGTTTAGGACCAATTAGTTAAATTACAGCAATTAATTAAACTGCTGGCAGTGAAAAGTCTGTTCTTGATACGCCTGTGGTCTAAAAATTCATCTTGCTCCTCCATACTACTCAGGAACAACAGGCAACAGACCAAATCCTTCCTGGACCACAAACCCCTGTCCTTCTAAGTGAGATGCTGTGCACAGAGGGTTACAAACACAACTTCATCTGTGAAAGCAGACAATATTATACATTCCTTTTTTATTCTAATTTTGTTTTATGTACCTTAACCTATCGAGCTTGTATTTGTTCACAATAAGAAAAACAGGATGGAAGAAGACAGATTACAGATTTAAGTGTTATTTAAAGTCATTATTTCGTAAACATTTCTCAGTTCTTAAACTATCACACAGGATACAGGATCTATATGTGGCTAATTTTAATGTTTTGCTGGTCTAGACAGTCCTGTATCTGTAATTTGTGCCTTGTGTAAAAACTGGAAATGCACTGGCATGATCCTCTCAGCACTAAATGTCAGTTTCATTTTTCTAGATCCAGTTTTCACCTACCTTCTCATTGGAACCCTACTACAGATGCAGCCATTAAAAGTCATTACAGACATGTACCGCGGTACATGATTGGTTGACCGACAGGGGCATTCGTGGTCTGTTGGTCTGTCATAGAAAGATTTACAGTAAACGTCTTTACCGTGCCCATTTTAGTATTGAATATTTATATGGAATTTTACCAGTGAAGGGAAATCTTAGTAGCTGAGCATAAAAAGAATAGGAGCATACTGTAACGCGTGTGAAGGCCATAAACGATATTAATTTTGGAACATAAACATACAGTATATGGCTGGTCTTGGTACTTTAAAGAAAAAATACACACTAGTATTCCATTTCTCCCTAAACATTTTAAGCATCGAAGTCTTTAACTAACGAGATACCGGAGTCAACAAGCATACTTTTAGAATTTGATTAAAAGGGAATATAATAAGGAATCGCGTATCTAAAGAAATTAATAACGATATAATTATATTCATGTACCGCAACACAAGAATAGTACACGCTGTACATTGTCTGTTGATAATGTTTCTGTAGTGCTTTTTCGGCACTCTGCATGTGACCTTGCCGGTGGCGCTGTGGGTTAGGTTCCTGTTTCCCACGTCACACGGTCTGTGATCGAATCCCACTGGAACCATGACTTTTTTTTTAACAAACATTTCTTTTAAAAAATGAAACGTTTCCCTTGGTCAGAGATTAAATAAAACCTCACTCGCACCAAACAAATTTATATTTCTAAATATCACAACATGATCGAATTTAAGTCATTTTAATAACAATGAATAGTCACCTATGCGTTACAATATAAACATTTATATTGATTTAAATTGCGTTTTGATTTAAATCGTAAACGCAAGTTAAAATATATGTGTTCTTTGATTCACAATCAGACAAATGCAACATAAATTGATATCTTTGTCTTCTAAGTATCTTAATAAACTTTCACTATAACTTTCTCAGCGTTTAGATTTATTTTTCTTGGGATCAAACGTGGAAAGATTAGATTGTAATCGTTTTTATTTTTTAAATACATTTTATAAAAGTGTAATCTATGCTAAAAAGTTGTACACCACCTGCTATAAAGATACATATTTTAATACTTTCGGGTTCGGATAGGACAGACACGAGAACTCAGACTTGCGCAGTTAAAGCAAGTTAAAGCCTTGATTTTATATATCACCTATGTAAACCATGTTTGCTATTAATTCATTTAGGGCTAGAATATGTTCATTGTCTTCCAATGAAAGAAGGGTTCCTTTCGCCATAGTCGAGTTGACATTAGAAGCTTGCCACGCCCGGACTGTTACACCAATGCATTAGCATGTTAAAGCGATTTCATTGAGGAGCCTAGCTTTCTTAACTAGTAAGTACTGTACTTTTGGAGGGGGGAGGTGTCTTTTGCTGGAAAACTTGCCCCCTTCTACTTTGAAAATACCTATGAAACCGGTTTAATTCGTCACAGTCAGCACTCCCGCAGAGAGGGGGGTTGTACTTGTTAATGTCTTAGCTGGAACACATCATTATATCTCATTTTGTATTCAATAAAAAAATCATTTGCCAAGCCTAACACTTTTGTTTTTATAACAAAGCACAGCTTTCTCACCACTTAGATTACTTTTTGATTACTTTTTGATACCATTCTTACACAAAGCAGAAACCTCTTTTTAATCGTCTTTTTTCTGAACCAGGGAAAATCTGATCATGTGTCTCTATAACAATAATAAAAAACTTTATTTAACATATCACCTTTAAAAGTGGCATCTCAAAGCAATACAGTAGATTTAAAAAAAAGTCAAAAATCAAAATGCAATTTAGAGCTTTCTGGCAAGAGGAGACACCCAAATTAATAATGTAACATGCCACTGTTTGTGCATGAACAAGGTTATACTGCTATTTCCTTAGATACGCGATTAAAAAAAAATAAAAAAAATTTTGAATCCCCGGCGGAACCGGGCATCCATAAGAATCAAGTTATATGTTTACTCCATGCTAAAAAAAAGAAAGAAAACACATTCCATAAGAATCAGTGCTTTTATATATCGCCTTTAAAGGTGGATTCTCAAAACGCTTTACAGGATAAAAACAACAATAACAGCAACAACAACAATATTGTATTTCATTGCACTTTGAAAACCAAGTAATAACTATATGTGCAAACGTTTTATGATATGTCGCTGTTGTGAATGTCTGTGGAGTCTTATTTGCCTGTCTGTCCTGGCTGTGCTCTCTCGCTCGCCCTCCCCCTCTCTCTCCTTCAATTCAATTCAATTCAAGGTGCTTTATTAGCATGACAGATGAGTACAATCAGTGTTGGGTATTTACTTTGCTTTGAGAT